AGAAGGAACTACAAACTATGTTGTGTCCTCTAAAGTTAAAAAAGACCAGGAAAAATAAAGTGACACAATAAAAAGCAAGTGGCTACAAAGAACTTAATGCCTTTCATATGGTACACAGTTTTGTTTTGTTTTTTGCTTTGTACTGCTTGCTTGCTGACTCAATTGACATTCAAAGCATTGCAGAGTATCTGGGCATTCATAATATGCCACCAATGTAGTGAGACATGTCATGTTTCTTCTGTGTTTTTTGCATAAAAAGACATTAAAACGGGGTACCTCATCAATCAATGCTGTGCCGTCTGCGGTGTACCTTAAAGCATTTTAAATTCATGCAGGTACAATGCTTCGTGTCGATACAGGGTAAATCATCTACAAGCCTCCGTTCCTCCTCATTTATCATGTGCCATATTACCACATACTCTCCCAAGTGGCTTTTGTTTTGACGTTGTGTCTCATTGTGATGGACAGTGACTTAAGGACTGCTTCTATTACCTGGCCTCACACACGCAACTCGTAATAAATAATTATCTTAGCATTAGCCTACGGGGCTTGGGGACTTCTACATCAATCAACTACGAGGCTCGCCTCGATGCTAAGCATGGAGCTGTATACTGGACGTGGTGCCGCGCCACAATGCTCCAATCCCTCCCTCCTTGTGAAGGGAAATTAAAAAGGTAGTTCATCAAAAGTTCATTAGCATACAGCTCCTTGCTCCGTCCACCCCTATACCCTCCTCATAATAGACACTTAGACGGGCCATGTGAGGAGAATAACAAGTGTGTACTACTTCTGGTTGTGGACGTGTTTGAATTAAAAGACTGCATCGTGTTCTGTGTGCCAAATGAGTTTTCTGACCCCAGGATGAGCAAAAACCTATTTCATATCCAGAATGTACAAAATACTAAACCAACACATTAAAAATGATTAAAGCCATTTTTCCCTTAAAATATACAGTGGATTTATGTAGTTAAAATAAAGTTGACACTGAATGCATTTCTTCCAATCATCAAAATCCCAGTCTATCCTAATAAGTCAAACATTCATTGAATATTTTCTCATGTGATAATATGCTTCCTACCAATAAATTCACAAAGCTAGAGCTGCTGTGTAAATATTTTTTTTTCCTCCTGGAGCCAGCTATCTCATCCTAGTTCACTTTCACACTGCAGCGCAAGCTTCTATTAATGCAATCTGCACAGGAGGCCACAGAGGTCACTCATAAATTTAGTTTGGCTTGCAGCATTTCGCTACTGCATCCCTTCACAGGCTGTATTGCTAACACTAAGCAGTGAATTTTTAACTTATTCTACACACACAAGACTGTTAAGGAATTTAACTGGGTACATTGGTTTTCCCTCATCATAATTTCCTGTGTTTTCTCATAGTACCTGCTATTCTCTAATAGCACTGCCATATTAATGAAATCAGGCTCATGCTCTCAAAGTAAAATTACCCCTTACCCGGAGTCGGCCTGTGAATAAATGTATAAATGGGGTTACGGTGTGAATAGAGAGGCTCAAGGCTGAATCTGTTGAGCCTCGCGTGCTTTGTTTGTGTCACAGAAATGAAAGTTGAGGGAAAGGCTCTGACCTGGTCATCCAGCCAATTTGCACTTGTTTGTTTCCTTTACACTGATGTATCCTGTTATATTCACTAAGAGTACATGCTTGTTTCCCAACCCGTTTTTACACTTATTCGATAATGCCTACACCCACCAGGGAGCTGCTGTATTGAGCCCTCAGTGTCTTACTGCTCATCACCAAGCAGCTCCACTGGAGCATGGCTAGTATCAGTGCCTCGCCTATTATTTGCTCTAAGCCTTGGCAATAAGCAAAGGTAACTGGGATCTAACGGCCAAGTGTTTATATCTGTGCCACAGCAGTTTCACAGCTCTTGAAATATTCATTCAGTACAAAGGTGAATTCACTTACATGCCTTTGACTGGCAGCTGAGGCGATGATTCACAGCTGTTTTGGTGTACATGCGGTCTCCACAAACACTGCATTTGTAGTTTAGAGTTACGTGCGTCTTTATTTGCATTAGGATGCTTTTATGGACTTGTGTACATCTTTTTCCTGAGAAGGTGGGAGCAGGAGTCAGATATTGCACTCTGCATGTAACACGATCAGAGTCTGCAGTATCTCTCCCTCAGGAAGTCCTGCAGTTCTCTTTAGTGCCTGCTTTACCACTTTTGTCCACCTTGTCAGCATTTAGTGAGAGAAGGAACAAGGAGAGATAGACAGAGGGCAAATTTGCTCTCAGCACCAATTTTTGAAAGACTGGGGAAAGCAACTTTAACTGTGACTTCATTATCAACACCATCTGGACTGGCAAAGGAAAAAACAAAAATACACCCTAGATTAAAAAATACATGATACGATGTTTGTTTTCCTTTTGATTACATGCTGATCAGATTGTTCCACGCTCGTGTTTCCATGTCCTTTAGTTGACGCAATCTGAGATGCAGACTTGATAGAGCAGGCATGTTTTTGTTTTTCTTATTTTGGCCTGTACAGGCACGGCGACCGATGTTGATCATGCCAATTGCTCCATGTGCTACCCGCTTCAGCTTGGTCCACACAAACTCCTGTTGCTTCCGCATGCAGCGTAAAAACCGATTTCTTAGCTTGCACAACCCAATTTTGTCTGGGAATGGGCTGCACAGTAACTGAGGCAGCAAATAGAGAGACCTTATGTAGAAGCTATTGGTGGGGATGAAACTGTTATTATGGTCTATCAAATTCTAATAGAGAGCAGAAGAATTGACTTTTTAATAGTTATAGGTTACTGTTTGATTGTACATCAGCAGGAATCGTACTTCTTTGTATTTATGGAAAATGATTACCCTTGGGGTGAGAATCCTCTAATTCGTTTTGTCATAATCAGTGTTAGCTCTTTTTTTTTTTTTTCCCCTTGCTCATCTGTATTCAGCCTCGTGATTGGCAGTTTATCCGTGAGTCGACCATTCTGGCTCTCAGGGGCCAGAAATGGTCAGTCAGACAAATTACATCCTTTTAACCCAACTGTCAGTCAGACACTTGGTGGACTGAAGCCCTTAGGTGATGTTTCCATGTTAGGCTTTGTATGAAACTGACGAAGTCTCCCACAGTAGTATTACACTGCCACACACACACACACTAATATACACACACACTCTCTTAGAAAAGCCAGATAATGTGGAGGCCAGGAACACTATTGTCTGTATAGTACCAGATCTCTGAGGCCCACATTTAGATTGCTGAGACAATTCACATATTAAGACACCTCCACATAACCCACATCACATTCACACCTTCACATCATCCAGAAGAGCTGCGTTCTTTGCATCAAAGGCACAAGAACATGGGCACGTGCACTCACCCGCACGCGCTCTTATTGTACACGCAGACCATTCAGTCCCTTTTGGCAGTAATAGCTACACTGCGCTGATATGGCGCTTACTCGTTGGGTCTTTTAAAGCGGATTTGCAGGAGGCTTTTTATTTCTTTAAAGGGAAGGAGAAACCTCATTTAGGGGATGACGGTTTGAAAAGATGCTCGCGCAAGAGCTCGATATTCAGTGAGAGGAAGAAAGATGGAGGTGAGAGGAAAGTGGTCACCCAAAAGATCCAGCCCGGCACCAGGGCCCAAGTCTAACCTTAAACCCAGTTTTAGAGAAGACTGAAAATTCAAGTGGATGACTTCAAAGGTGATCACATCAACCAAAAGTGCACAGCTGGAGAGGATTCTTGCAGTCGCTCTTGGCTAAACTAGTCCCAACGTCCCACCACCAGGGGCAGTGTTTGAATATCAGAGTGTTGTTTAAAAAAAATCAAAACAAGGAGGAGGAATGTGAGAAGAATAAAATGGAGAGTGAAGCCGGAATGGGCGAATCCCATAGGTACTATTGATCTGCGGCTGCAACAAACATAGGCTTGTTGCCAGCGAGCATGCTGGTGGTCAGATGTGTGTAATTGATGGAGTTGAGTTTGACACAGTGCTGTAATGTAATCTGGGGCTCGAGTCTCTGTGGCGTTAGAGTGGGAGTGAGAGACATTAAAGAGAGAGGTGAGGAGAAAATGAGGCAGGGTGAGGGTGTATAGTGGGTTGCCGGAAAAAGGCACGGGGATTTGCTGCAGGGACTGTGGGCTGTGTAAATTTGATGTATTAGAACGGAGTGTTTCCCTCCTCCTCCCTCTAGCAACCTCATGGGTTACACACGCAGGAACAATGGCCTTGACTACTGTAATAGGCTTTTATCTAGAGGGACTACTTTCTCAGTCGCACACAGTGTGTAAAGGAGTGTGTTTCACCGTCTGCGATGTGCAGCTTTCCACTTCTTTTGCTTTCTCTGATTTACACTCAAAATAACAACCAATATAGTATTCTATACACCAAGTGTCCTTTTTCACAGCAGTTTGTTGCGATATGTGTCCGAGTTTAAGCTAAGAGGTGAATTAGGCGCATTTTGGAAAGATGTTGAGTAGCTCCATTTATAAATAATTTGGAAATGAGATGTGGGGTCTTGACTTGGGCTTTTTAACATTTATATTGGCACATTGTTATCTAGCTCTTAAGGCTAAATATTCATGGAAAAATGATCCCTGGTTGAAACAGTTGTTCACACACAGACTTGGGCACTTTTTTCTTGTTTGGCTTCCTTCTGTTTCTTTATTTGTTTGTTTGTCTACATTGTTTTTCCCCCAGCTCTGTGTCTTGTGTGACAGTATTCCCACTCCTTTGTTCCACTGTAGCTGTGTCTCTAATTTAATTGCAGACCTTTTGAAGAGGGATCGATTTGAGAGAGAAGATAACTAAGTTATCAAACTGCTTCATTGACTGGCTCTCTTTTCTCTCTCCATCTTTTTGCCTCCTTCCCTTTCTTGTCCCATCTTACTCTCCCTGACTTCATTCTCTCCCCCCTTTTTACGCCAATTTTCTTCCACTCATTCCTCTTCTTCCCATCCCCCACCCTCCGCCTTTTCTCCTTTGCTGTCTTTCACCCTTGCCCTGCAACCACAGGCCGACAGACCTGTCCTCCAGAGAAGTTTGATTGCGGAGGGGCTGCCAGCAAATGTGTTTCATTGTCATGGCGATGCGACGGAGAGAGGGACTGCGAGAACGGGGCAGATGAGGAGCAGTGCGCCGCGGGTAAGTTTGTGGTGGAAATGGTGAAGGAAGAATCACATAGTTAAACACGCGGCACACTTTTCATGTTACAGTGCAGTCAGTCTGTTGTATTCCAGTTGGGAATAATGTAACGTGTAACCCCAATTCCATAAAAGTGGGGACACTGTGTAAAACATAAATATAAACTGAATGCAGTTATTTTACTTATAATAGAACACATCAAATGCACCATTCTAAGAAAAATATTGTCTCTTTTTGACTTTGATGTCTCAAAAAAGTTGGGGCAGGGCCGTGGTTTCCACTGTGTAGCATCTGCTGTTCTTTTAACAACTGTCTGTAAACATCTGGGAACTGAGGAGAGCAGCTGCTGGACTGGTGGAAGAAAATGACTGTCTCTATCTTGTCTCATATAAGATTCTGGCTGCTCAACAGTCCTGAATCTTTCTTGTGATGTTTTTCTTTTTGCAATGCTCCCAATGTTTTCAGTCGGTGAAAGTCTGGACTACACTTAGGCCAGTGGAGCATCCAGATGTTGCAATAGACACAGGATGCAGTTTAGTATAGTGTCGTGAAAAAGACATCATCTTGATGGAAACATATGTTGCTCTAAAACCTGTATGTATACCTGTATTCATGGTTCCTTTCCAGATGTGTAATCTGCCAAAACTGTAGGGCTGATAACAAGCCCGACTGTCCCTCTCCTCTTTAGTCCAGATTGTGCGGCGTCCATCTTTTAGCCATCTTTAGTCATTTTACCATAGTTCATTTTAATTCAGATGTTACTCAGCAAAGATGGCAGCATTTATGCATGCTTTCATCTCATGCTTGCATCTTCTTTGTCTGATAGAGCTTTAACCTGCATTTGTGAATGGCACTGAGTCCATGCACTTTCCATGACAGAATCCTGCCTGTTGTTAACGCAGTGCTAGAGATTACAGGCATCCAATATTGACTTTCAGCCTTTATATTATAAAGCGTAAATGATAAGACACCCAAAGTCTTTGAAATTTTATGTTGAGGAACATTATTCTGAAATCGTTCCACAATTTGTAAATGCACTTTTTTTTGCAGATTGTTGAACCTCTGCCCATCGTCACTTCAAAGCATCCTAACGCTTTTGGAATTGACTGCTAAATTTCTTGTCATCTACTTTACAGTCATGATGGAAATCAAGCCCAAGTCTGTCTCTTCAGAAAGCACACACTTGTTTGATCAGCAATGCCCTCACATGTTTTTAGTAATTACGCATACATTGACTGCTGTCACACTTTGTAGCATACATCCTCCCAGCTGATATCAAAGCTGTAGGAAAAAGGGGTATTGATTTTCATCAGCATAAACATCTGGCCTGCAGCATTATTGATTTTAAACCTGAAACAAACACATGCACCCACAGCATATTTTTTTGAAGAATATAGATTGCATGTACAGTTTGCCCTTTATGTTCTGAATTTCTCTAATATCTCTAATATAATGTTGGTGCCTTTGTCCAAATGAAAAATGGCTTTTTTACTGTCACAGTCATTATGTTTTAATGGAGACAAAGTGGGGTCATTTTAGACCAGTTTTTGTATGCAGGGGCCTAAAGCAGAGAGAGTATGTACCAAGTGTCCTCACTAGGAAACTACAAGATTATGCATTTCAGATTATTCCCATAATGCTGGCATTGTCCTTCAGAAACTTTGACATTCATATATTCTCATGCTGAAGATGAGGCGCAAAGATGTGCAGACTCCCCAATTTGGCAGTCAACAAAACTCTACAAATGCCTCCTCATGTATTATAATTAATACAGTGTTGCTGTTAGCTGTAACATGCTGCCTTCAAACCATGGATATTGTCTCACCACATAAGTCACGGGGGCATCTGCACACTGCGAGTGCATCACATGCCTCTTCATCACAGTTAAAAGTATCGGTTTGCAGCTATTGTTTGCTTCCACAGAGTGATCCTGTGGTTTGCACCAGCATGAATCTCTTTCTCCTTAAAGTCTCTTCTGCGAACTCTCCTCTTTGATTTCTTTGTGTTCTGTGCGCATCTTCGTTTTTGTTCAGTGTAATAATTCACGTTAATTGCCATCCACAAAAAAATCGATATAGCATAGTATAGTGATACTTTGCATGCCGATATTTTATTGATATAGAGACCCAAATATTGATGCTTTATTACATAAATTCAAGTACTCTGTGAATTTTGTGAACAAGAGGGACTGCAGGGTCGCCTTACAGCAAGTGTGAATTTAAATGTGAATTCTTGTCTTTATCACACTTAACTGTTGTTTTATGAGAAACAGATTGCATCATAAGGTGATAAACTCTGATTTGTTATTGCGCAGCATATTGCAAAATGTTAAAAATCGTAACAATATCGCATCATGAGTGAAGTATTGTGAAAATACCATATTGTGGGCCGTCTGCTGATTCCCACCTCTCTATTGTCTATATGGAGAAAAAAAAGCTTTCACACATCAGCTGCGTGCTAATCCAGAATTTTCTTAGTGTAAAACACATGAAATCTGGAATTTGTTACAATTTTTCCACATTTTAGAAGTTGTGATAACTGTTTGGGGTTTGTTTGTTTTTCTCATGGTTAGCAGATGTCCTAACTCATCTTCTTTCCCACACCTTCCTTCTAGTCTTTTTTGTGTTTGTCCCAGTTCATCTGTTTTTATTTTGTGTGTGCGCTTTAGGTTGACGGTAGCACACGGAGATCTCTATAGGGCGTCTATGACCATGACCTAATGAAAACAGCAGGCACTGTTGATTTAGTCATGTAACCCAAGCTGCACTGTTCACATACCGTCTGTATCTCGTGTATAAGTTTTCTTCCCATGCTTACTTAGCACCTGTAATTTTCCACTGTATTTCTGTGTATTGATAGTCTTCCATTGCCTTTCATCTGCCTGGCCTGGCCAACTCTTCATCACCTTTTTCAGTAGAAAATAAAGTGGTTAATGCGCCTGTGGGGGGAAAAAAAAAAAAAAGAAATTCATAGGGCCCTTGATGGTAATTGATTTACTGTCTGAAGTGGTTTGATTATATAGGTGGGTGTTATAGGCGTTCTGCTGCAGAGATCAGCCTTTGATGAATATTAAAAAGTGGACCGGACATTTAGAGATCACACATTAAAGCTGACTTAAAGCCCAACAGCACAATGGATCCATTAACGCTAGTCTTTATTTTCATGAAAACTTAACTCTTTTTCCAAAACACAAAATTTCACAAAACCATTCAGAGTATCTGAAATTCAAATTTCATATCCATCAGTTAAACACAGAGTGCAGATATCGCCTTATTACAGATGCAGATAACAAATTCAATAAGTGGAGGAACACAAATTAAGACCATTACAGCGTTTAAAAGCACCACCTTGCAGTTTTACACCTCCACCAGCCTCTGAAGGTACAGTTTACTTGCAGGTCTGCGGAGATTTGACATTTTATTTTTATTTTTTTAATAGAAAATGTCAGCTCTTCATCATATTATGTGGGAAGTCACAAAAGAGGATTCATTGTTGGTTAAAGTATTAAAAGAGCTGTAGTCACAAAGACTCCTCAGCTTACTCTGTCACTTTAGTCACAGTGTGGTAGTAGCAGCAAAACAGGTACTGTTTCTACATTCTGAGTCTGTGTGCATCATCGTGGGAATGCATGTTCCTGAATACACCTCCTCTACAAACACTCCTTTCCATTAATCTGAGGACATGTGATCATATCGGTTTCATGTCTAAATAAGCACTCTCATTACTTTGTCATGAAATCTGTGATGGAAATATTTGCAGGTCATATCTAGTAATACTCATGTGTCACTTTCAGTGTGGCACAAGATTGAAGTTTGCATTTGCCCCTATAGCACACGCGCACACATACACACACCCTTGTGTGTTTATGGGGCAAGTCATATAACATCTCTGAAGAGGGTTTCTGTCTGAGTAGACTTTACAGAATATATATATTATATAATATAATGTTACCGTAGCTTAATGCTGCTGTAGTCCATGCAGGGGTCGAAGTGGGATTTGGCAGGTGGGAGAACCCTAAGATGGAGCGTAGTAGTGTAATGTGGGGAAAAGTATCTCTTAGAAATGCTTCACACAGTAACTTGTTTTGTGAGCGACAGAAGGGATTTCTTTGTGTGCAGGCTGTGACCAGCACTGCTTCTCAGAAAATCACTGCTCTTGGGAGATTTAGTCAGTTAAATTCAGTAAGATATAAGCAAATGACTCGATAGCTGATTTTTCTAAACCTAATAAAGCTTGTATGAAATGTAGAATTGAGCAAGTGAATTTAATTTGATGTTAACTAACTTTAACCATGAACACCACAGCCGCTCTACAGCAGTGCAACATCACTGTAATGTTCACAACAAACTAACCAGTTTAGACTAGACTAAACTGCACAGTAGTTTCATGAAAACTGGGAATAAAACAAAAAATTGGTATACTCACAGTTTGTTGATTTAAAAACTCTAAAATGAATTAGGACATTACATATAAGATTTAAATTTCATCTGCAGAGCAGTTATATTAAAATGATCTCTCATCTGCCCTCTCTCTTTCTTACATCTTTTTCCATCATGCATTTAGGTTTTTTTCCCCTCCCTGGGAAATGCACTAACTGTTCATTCATGTAGCAGACACATTTTGTGAAAGATTTCACAGAAACAGTTTGTGTGTTTGATGTTTGTGGAGCTACATTTAAAATTACCAACCACAAAAAAAAAAGAAAAGAAGTACTAGTCCATTTCTGTGCACTCTTCGTTTGTAGCGCTGGCTAGATGCTATTAAGTACAGTGAACTTTATTTATATCTGCACCTTGAATGCACACAGGTATGAGAGGGGGGAAAGCGATGCGTTGTTGGTGTCATTATTTACCTATTACTAAGCGAGTATCTCAATACTGTCACTGGTGCTGCAGCACAAGAAAAAATATAAAAGTATATGCATGTGTCAGCCCACCTCCTTCTCGTCCTTTAAACAGATAAAGATAAAACATTTGCAAAGACTAATGAGACCAGCACTC